GCTAGTTAGTCGTCAAAAGTCGAACATCTCAAAGTTTAGGAGCCAATTGGTCTGCCGATATTTCGTGCAGTTGAAATTTCTGTTTGGGGCTATCCATTCGGGTTCACGGCCTAACATCAAATGCACATGCTTTATGAACGTCTTTTTCTTTCCCCAAAAATCTTCTCTGCCCTTCTTGAGGATTTCTTGTGACTTTGAACTTATCTATCTTACTATTCACTCTATTAACCATGACAAGTCTCACGCTTCAATTTTTTTTATTTCCCCGAATTTCCTCCCTTGATACGTGAAATTCATAAACAGTATCGTTCTATTCATAGGTGTCTGCCAAACCTTTTCCCATTTTTTACAAAATCTTAAGTAAATAGTGTTATCTAAGGCTACCATTGGCAGCTTATGCTCATAATTACGGCTTCCTATTTACTCAATTTGTAATTTCCAAGCATGGCGCGGAGTAAAACGACGTAAATCCATATTTTCTCAATTTACACATCATATCTCAAGCTACTTCAAATATGTGAATACTTCAGAAGATGAACTATCCATCTGTTCTTTTATTCCTATTAATTTCCTCTATTAACGGCGTGAGAGTGCCGAAGCTTTATGAGATTGATTTGGATGCTCCACCAAGAGAGAGATGGAATAAAGTGGTGGAAGATCATCGCGATCTTATTCCAGGATTTGTTAAAGTAGCTCAGTGAGTATCTTTTCGACTCAAGGCTAAGTTCAACGTTATATCAAGTTAGTCGGTTAATTTATTAGGAGATTATCTAGTATGAATTCAGTAATATAGAAAAGCCTTTATAGAACATTATTGCAATATTAGAGCTTTGCTCTTCAGTGTTTAGAGGATATAAATTCTTTTAGACGGTCTGAAAATCATCTTTCGTTTCCTATACCCAAAACAAAGTTTTTTCTTTGCATGGGAACCTGCACTTTAGATCCTATGTACCAAAGCATCTACTACCTATTGCATTCTGGATTGCAGGAGAACTGAACCGCTTCTTTCCATACGAGTATGAAGAAGAAATTCGAGGTTTTCTAATTGAGTTGTTTTTCGATTTTTACAACACTCTATGAGATTTTTCATTCTAGGAATTGCCAAAGCATCAGGACTTGCTCTAGGTCATGTTGTATCCATGAACATTCTCTATGATATCCTAGCCTTTGACCGAAAACAGTAAGTGCATAATGTTCTTTTCAACTCTTAGATTTGAAATGGAAGATAAAGTAAATGTGTCTACCTTGCAGTATACTGCAATTGGGATGTACATCGATTGTGGCGCAAAACGATGATGGAGTAATTTATCATGGAAGGAACTTGGACTATGGTATAGTAGATTTGCTGAAGAATGTCACGCTCTTGGTTGATTTCACTCGTGGACAAGGATCGAAAAAAGTGGGTGCAAGAAGTGCTGCATAACGTTTTATAATAAACCAATCAAGTAGTGTACAGTTCAAAAAAAGGGCCCTTAGTAAAGTCCCCTCAGCAGAGATCACCTGGACACAGCGTCAGGTGAACTCACTCCAAGGCAGGCAAAGTACAGAGGAACAATTGATTGCAAGGATCCATGGCATGCGCAATTAACTTCAATTAGACTTTTACGACCTCTTCGTTCGTGTATTGGTAGC